CTTGGACACACAGTGAGAGAGCCATTCTGACTTCACTTCTGTGTCAAGCTGATGGCCTTGTGCCTGTGTACACTCTCTGGTTGGAGCCTTGATAAACACGATGTATCAACCAGACAATGAGCATGGGATGATGGCCTGGATTCATCTTGCTCTGCATATTTACCACCTACACACCATCCTTCCATCTGCATCCTTCTCTGCATTTGTTGATCACCATCATCTCCCTGGCCCTTTCAGAATCTTTTTGGATATGGAAGGCCAGAGAGAAGAAAATGGAGGTAAGAAGCCAATCATAGTACCACCAGGAGACAGGCTCAGAATAGTTGGCCTGTGTAGTGTGAAATCTATCATGCTGGTACACAAAAGTAGAATACAACATAATACAACAGTTCTGCCATTATCTGCAGACAGCTAATCTGTCTTCACCAAGAAATCTATTTTTTGAGAAACCTGGAAGATGCATCTCAGATGTTCTCATTAGGGCAGATAATAGGTATGGAGTGGTCTTTCTTTGAGTTGGAATCAACTCACTGCCATCAAGTTGGTTGTGTCTCATACCTGACCTTCTGTTAGGTTTCCAAGAGTGTAAAACACACAAAAGTAGATTTCTTTCTAATGAAGAGCAAATGGTGGATTAAAAGCACCACAGTAGGTCAATCTTTGGGTTAGCAGTGCATCTTCCCACTGGAGCTATAATAGCAGATATGTTGCTAGGGTAACAAATCAGGCAGTCAACACCTTCTCCTATCCTTAAACTGTGAACTCCTAAGTTGTAAGCCACCGCATCCCTGCTAGTTTATAGTTATGGGTTATAGTCCCTTGTTGTCCCATTTCATTGATAGTAAAACATCTTCAAGACTGGAGTTCTTTTTTTTTCCTACTCACTATAAGGGCAAGTGTCTTGTGAATCTCAGTGTCAGCTGGATGTGGCCTCTTGCATCTTGAGGAGAGGCAAGTATGGAACACTCAGAGTGCTGTGGCTTTCTTTTTGGCCCAAGTAGATATGAGCTGAGCGGACCTGCCAGATGAATTGGGGGTCTCCAGCCCAGAGTTCACCAGCATTTGGGCATGCTGGAATGGTAAAATAATGAAATATCTGGCCACGCCTGCAGGCTGAAGGCAAGTGTCTTGTGAATCTCAGTGTCAGCAGGATGTTGGATGGTCACTAGGTGTCGCCTACGACTTGACAGCACTTAACAACAACAACAACAGCATAGAGAGAGATCAGTTGGCTTAGTGGACAGAAAATGATGCTACCAAGCCAAAGGTGGGTGACTTTAATCCACAGGCCTCAGGCCCATTTTCAATTATTTTTGGTCAAGCACTCTTCTAGGTCATATAGCCCTGGTGTGTCCACTTGCCGAACAGAGGTAACTTGTGGTTGCTGTGAAGCTGAACACTGTGACAGTGATGTGTCAAATGTGATAATCGTTACTTATAGTGGACAGTGTTTGGTGGAGCTCCTCCATTAAAACAAGCTTGGAAGAAGGAGAGGCATCCACTTCCATAATAGCTTGCCTCCTGAAACCTTATGAACCTGGAGAAAGGATGAAAGTCACACAAGCTTTGAGGACTTTCATTCATAATGTCACTATGAGTCGCTTACAACTCAACAGCGCTTAACAACACAACAACATAACTTCCAGGCACATTATGCATAGGGCACCATTCCTGGAATCCAGTGAGGGGGATGGGGGAAAGGACTTTTCCTCTCTGTCTATTTTCTGCATGCAGAGTTTCAACAAACTCTCTTTACCTGCCACCCTCCTCAACCCAACTGCACTGGTGTCACTGACTGGGCTCTTGAAGGACTCATGAAGACCAGTCATGCACTGCTGGGTTCTTCTGACTGTTCCTTTCTGCAGATCAAGTTGGCCTTCTTTAGCCCTTTCAGTATTTTGACTCCTGGGGTCTATGCCTAAATGTGTGAATCTTATTTGCTCATTATCTGAATTTATAACGATATGATTATGCCCATAATTTTATGTTCTTAAAGATCTTTAGAAACAAGATCTACTATAAAAGTGAAGTGAGAAAAATTAAAGGCCATATAGTTTTGTGTCTAATACCTTTATCTTCTCCAACTCTCTGCCAAGTATCCAGGTCTAAGATGATTTTGAGTAGATTATTTAATCCCTCTGTGCCTTTGATGTCAGTATAAGAAAAGTACTATCTTCACAAGATAGGGGCTTAAAGAAAAAAAGGTAACATAAAAAAAGTATCAAGCATATTGTCAGTGAGTATTTTAACATTCACTATGATCTGTTATTGAAAAGGTATGGAGACAGGACACATCCCTGGCGTACGTCCTTCCGAATTTTGAACCATGCAGTGTTCCCTTGCTCTGTTCTGATGACTGCCTCCTGGTCCAAGTATAGGTTTCACATTTGAACGATCAAGTGTTCTGGGATTCCCATTCTTCTCAGAGTCAGCCACAGTTTGTTATGATCCACACAGTCAAACGCCTTTGCATAGTCAATGAAACACAGATAGACATTTCTCTGGTATTCCCTGCTTTCAGCTAAGATCCATCTAACATCAGCTACAATATCCCTAATACCACAACCCCTTCTAAACCCAGCCTGGACTTCTGGCAGTTCTCTGCTGATGTGCTGTTCCAGTCGATTTTGGATAATCTTCAGTAGAATCTTGCTTGCATGTGGAATCAGTGAGATTGTTCTATAGTTTCCACACTCTTGGGTCAACTTTCTTTTTTTAATTATTAAATTTTATTAATTTTAATGAACATTTACAGACATTTTGGGTTTTTATTCATTCATTGTTGCACTATTTTTTCTACCCTCCTTCCCAGTTCATTCTTCTTTCCCCCCCCCCTTGAAAGTCTGTTTAATTGTCCAAATGTTGGGTCACCTTTCTTTGGGATGGGAACAAATATAGATCTCTTCCAGTCAGTTGGCCAAATGGTTATTCTTCAGATTTCTTGACACAACTTGGTGAGCATGTCCAGGGCAGCATCTGTTAGGTGAAATATGTCAATTGTTATACTATCTATTCCTGGGACCTTATTATTTTTGCTATTTCCTTCCAAGCAAACTAAACTTCTTCTTTCATCACCATAGGCTCTTGCTCATATGTTGTTTCATGAAATTCTTCTGTGTTTGCCAATTCCTTTTGATACAGTGACTCAGTATATTCTTTCCATCTCCTTTTAATACTTCCAGGATCATTTCATATTCTGCCGAAAGCATCCTTGACTGTAGCAACTCGAGGTTTAAATTTGTTCTTCAGTTCCTTGAGTTTAAGAAATGCTGAGTGAGTTTGGCCCTTTGGATTTTCTGATTCCAACTCCTTGCACATTTCATTGTAATATTTTGCTTTTGTCATCCCATGCAGCCTTTTGAAATCTTCTATTCAACCCGTTAGTATCTTGAATTCTTCCTTCTGCTTTGGCTTCTCTGTGCTCCAGTGCAATTTTCAGAGTCTCTTCTGACATCCATTTTGGTCTTCTCATCCTCTTCTGTCTTTGCAATGACCATTTGCACTCTTCCTGGATGATACCCTTGATATCCTCCCACAACTTGTCTGGTCTTTGCTCATTAGTGTTCAAGGCCTCAAACTTGTTCCTGAGATGGTTATGAAATTCGGGTGGAATAGACTCAAAGTTATATTTGGGTTGCTGTGGATTTGGTTTAATTTTCCTCAACTTCAGCTTGAACTTGGTGGTCTGTTCCACAATCAGCTCTGGGCCTAGTTTTCACAGCTGATATTGAGCTTCTCCGGCGGTTCTTTCCGCAGATATAATCGATCTGATTCCTATGCATACCTTCAGATGAAATCCATGTATACAACCTGTATTTATGTCTCTTAAAAAATGTATTTGCTATGAATAAGTCATTGATTGTGCAAAATTCTTTTTCTATCTAGCTCCATTTTTGTCACCGAGTCCATGTTTTCCAACTACTGAATCTTCTCTGTTCCCAACTTTTGCATTCCAGTCACCCATTATTATCAATGCATCTTGATTGTATGTTCGATCAATCTGTATGCAGAACAGATTATCCGAGAGGCTGGGGGTCAAGATTGGTGGAAGATCGATCAACAAATGCGTTATGCAGATGACACAACCCTGCTTGCTGAAACTGAGGAGGACCTGAAGCACTTGCTGCAGACGGTGAAGGACTGCAGCCTCCAATATGGATTGAGGTTCAATGTCAAGAAGACAAAGATTCTCACCACTGGATCAATTGGCAGCATCAGAATGGATGGTGAAGAGATTGAGATTGTTCACAGCTTTAGTTTG